TAATAACTATTAAAATACATACTATATAATACATACATAAATAATGAAAATTGATTAATTAGAAAGCTGAAAATTTAACTTGGCCAATTTTTTTAAATTTCTTGTTAATCTTTCTCTCAATAAGAAATTTCTTGCCTACGATATCTTTAACTGTAAGCCCCTCGATAGTAGTATTAGTAAAGCAATCAAAAATTTTTGCTCTAGGAGGATCAATTACCAAGATTGAAAAAAATTTATCCACATTTTTGCTTCCAATGGTAAATCTATAATTTTTAATATTCTTATCCACAAAACCATCGGAGAACACTGCAGTTGAAATTATCTCTCAGGGTTTAGCGCCAACGTCCTCAACAAAGGTAACTATACCTTTGGCTTCATTACTGCCAGCGAATCTTGCAAAAGCACCTTTGACTGTATCTTTTGGTGCGCGTTTTTCCAAGGAGTCTACATCGCGTTTTTCTTCGAAAACTGGTGATGCATGGATAAATGCATTCGAGAAAATCATCATAATTAAAAGAGCAAATGCCAAAGATTTAAAAGATTTTGACAACATTTTTTTTTTTTGTATATTAAAAATTTTTTATTGTTATTGTTATTATTATTAAATCTTGAGATGATTTAAGAATAATTTTTTGGAAGGAAAATGTGGATACGTTTTATACGTTTTCAACAAATAGATATTTTAGTAGTTGTAAAAACACAAGTTAATTTTATTGGAAGATATAAGTAAATTACATGTACTCCCTAGACAAAAGTATTTGGATGCCCATTTTTAATAATCATGCAAAAAACTCCATAATAACTATACATAATATTCTATCAAAATGTAGTTAGGTTTTGATGAATATGCATGTAAGTTTTGATATTTTTAAAAATTTAGTTAAAAAACCCGAAACTCGACGAGAATCTTTTAATTGTTCAAATTTACACAAAATCCTACAATGAAATTTTATATTAGATCATGCAAAACTCGCATTATCAAAATGTAGCCCAAGTTTTAATGAATATGCATGTAAGTTTTGATATTTTAGTTAAAAAACCCGAAGCTTGACGAGAATCTTTTAATTGTTCAAATTTACACAAAATTCTACAATGAAAATTTATAATAAATCATGCAAAACTCGCATTATCAAAATGTAGCTTAAGTTTTAATGAATATGCATGTTTTGAAAAACTCGAAGCTCGACGAGAATCTCAAAATCCTACAATGAAAATTTATATTAAATCATGCAAAATCTCGCATTATCAAATGTAACTTAAGTTTTAATTAATATGCATGTAAACTTTTGATCTTTTAATTAAAAAACCCTACTCGACGAGAATAATGATGCTCATCCATTGTTTATTTTATATTAAATAATGCAAAATCTCACATTATAAAAATGTAGCCCAAGTTTTAATGAATATGCATGTAAGTTTTGATATTTTTAAAAATTCTAATTAAAAACTCGACGGGAATAATAATGATCATCCCATTGTTTTTAATTATTCAAAATCCTACAATGAAATTTTATATTAAATCATGCAAAATCTCGCATTATCAAATGTAACTTGAAGTTCTAATGTAATGAATATGCATGTAAGTTTGATATTTTTAAAATTTTAATTACAAAACCCTGCATAATAATAATAATAACGATGAAAATTTAGATTATCAAGAATGTGAATGCAAATTTTGGCCAGTGTATAATCAATATTTTCAATAATTAATAAGTGATCATCGTCAGTTTCGGATTTTTTAATTAAAATTTTCCTAGACGTTCTAAAAATATCAAAATTTACATGCATATCCATCAAAACCTAACTACATTTTGATAGAATTTTATGTATAGTTATTGTGGAGTTTTTGCATGATTATTAAAAATAGGCATCCGAATACTTTTGTCTAGA